AATAAAATACTAGTTTTTTACCTAGTCGAACGGGGATGTGATGTCCAAAGGCGGCTGTCTTGGTGGTGGTGGTGGTGTTGGTGGCGGTGGTGGTGGTGGTGTTGGTGGTGGTGTTGGTGGTGGGGTGGTGGTGGTGGTGGTGGTGGTGGTGGTGGTGTGGTGGTGGAGGTGGTGGGGGTGGTGGTGGTGGTAGTGTTGGTGGTGGTGGTGGTGTTGTTGGTGGGGGGGTGGTGGTGGGGGTGGTGGTGGTGGTAGTGTTGGTGGTGGTGGTGGTGGTGGTGGTGGTGGTGTTGGTGGTGGTGTGGTGGTGGTGGTGGTGGTGGTAGAACCTGATGCTGTCGTATCCTCTGGTGTCTGCTTTTCACATAGATTGTGACTAAAAAATTAAAACATTGAAATAAATTCTGTAATAGTTATTTTGTCAAGATATCATTAGAATATTCAAACTGTAAGCGACCAATTAACAGGACTTTCAGCACTTACATTGTCTGACAGTAAACATCACAGTCATGGTTTATAAATATTAAAAAATCGAAATTTCATTTTCATTTAATTGTTCATATTGATACATGTAATTGCATACTTTTGTTAGAAAATGGCGAACTATGCCTTAATCTTTATTAATGAATTATGCAATTGTCTATTCCTCCTAATTGCATAGGCAATTTGTCCGATGAAATTATACAAATTATTTATTATATAACAGGAAAATATATTTAACAGGAACAGATATGATTAGGTTGGGATTTCTAATTTAATACCAGAAAATATATGGAATTACATTGTATATAACAGATAAATCTACTGCGCTTACTCGAAGAGGTACAAAACTGAGTTTGAAAATTACCTTTCACTGAAAAGTGGATGAGTTGATGTGATGTCCTGCAATACTACATTATGTTCGCTATCGGACTCTGATGTGGAGGTTTGGCTCTTTCTTTTCCGTCTAGTTGTTTGTCCATGTTTTGTGTCTGCATTGCTGGAATACTGAAAGAAATCAAGAATTATTTGTTAAGACTTGTCCAACAAAATTGTTTATGCTATTTTCAGCATTTGGTAAACTAGGTATCATATTATAACAATTGCTTTTTCCCACTGCACTGAAATTTAACATTCAGTTTCAGTGCTCTTTGTTTTTCACATAAATTCACTATGTCAGTTACAAACAAAATGACATCAATTTCAAATCCATCATCTATGTAATTAAATCTAGACTTATTTCTATGTTTTGATTCACTGAATTTTGTAGAAATTTGCTAATTTTGAGGATTCCCATTCAATACCAACAGATATAGTGGACTCTCAAAATTTTTGCAACACCAAAATTCAAATACTTGTTTTGAACCATTCCCAGTGGCCATGCTTCCCCAAACAGCACGTACATTGATATCGTAATGGCGACTATTGTCCGTATTCAACTTTTTACTTGTTTCCAGGGAAAAAAAAACCAAACACGTCCTTTACAATTGGCAGATGTAATTGATGCCAGGTCGTACGCTGATATGCCAGAAACAGGCGTAATTGGGGATTGTCCATCAGCTGCCAAATCCAACGCCTTTTCACAATGACATGCATGTATGGTGAGATAAGAGACATGATTGTGCAGTTGGTCAAAATTTCTTATTTGATAGGAATTATGGCACTCTTTATTCTTAGAAAATTTAAACCTCAAACCCTCTTTGTAGCTTCGTGTCATCCGATAACTTTCACTTATATTACCAGGATCAATCGATGGTGTATTTACTACTGTTCTCCTTTTCATTTTTACCTTACAACCTTTCCTCCTGCTTTCATACCGATAAACTAGCCTACCCTTCGCTTTGATTTCACCACTTCCACCTTTCCTTCTATTCCTGTGCCTGCCACCGCCTAGGCCAAATTGATAGCAAACTTTACCCTTTTCCACGTTATGGTATAGTCTCCTCCTTAATTGTAAGTGTTGTTTGGAATTTCACTGAAAAGCTTTCCACCTTTACCAAACCTTCAGCCATGTGCTTCCGTACAATTCGACCAGACGTTCAAGTCGGAATAAACTTTTGAGACAACAATGAAACATAACCGGTGGGGTGTTAACATATAGTAATAAAAAAAATATCCATGCTGAATGTAGGTAAAACAACAAAAAATATGTTGTTGTTTTTTATTTATTTTTTTACCCAGATGTTTGGATTTGTTTACCGTTCGTCGTTTGTCGATATAACACCAATAAAGCATTGCATTGCAAATCTTACAGTTACGATGGATGATCACAATACTTACCGCGCTGCATTAGTACATTTGCAATACACACCAAGCAAATACTTACCTGTTACATGGTACGGATCATTCTATCGGCACTAAAAACCATTGCCATCCCGTCTGGTAGCGCCCAACAACCGCCAGATAGCACTCCGGAAGTAGCTGCGCATAAGGAAATAAAAATTTATTTTCGAACTTGTAATTATTATTTTGCCAACAATTATTACATAACGACAGGACTAAATATGCCTTTTGTTTTTTTAAAAAGCTCGCTGATATCTTCGTACGCATTGGCGTGATGAAAAGTACTCATCGACCATAGACCGTCCTAATTTCAAGATTGTGAAGAAATTCAAGGAGGTTTTGAACTGCAGATTGCGGCGTACATGTTTATGAATCACTCCTTAAACAATTTACGGCATGTTTATAGTGATCGCTTCATCGGTGATGACAATATAAGCATACATATGAACGTACCATCACCAACCGGTGAAAACAATATGGCGGCGCCCATGAGATCACGAGTCTCTGCGGATAAAATGTTTTTTACTTGAAGTTCCAGTAAAAATAAGTCAGTTTCTGGTTAGGAGTCCCCAATGTGGTGTCTGTATTTAACATTGATCTAAGTATATGTTTTTAACTAGATATGGTTGTTTTGTTAGATTTTTTGTTGGCATGTGTTTCGCCAACTCCAAATATTGACTTTTACTTTCCAAAGTTAGTTAGTTATTACGCATAGAAATAATTCATTTTTGACCCATTTTATTAGTTTGGCATATCAATTTTCCAAATTTAACAAAATATTTGCCCTTCATGTCATTCTTAACACAGATTTTACCTTATTCATTTATTGACACAGAAGCTCTTCAGTAAGGCCTACTAAGGGGCCTATGGACCTTAAGGTCATTCCAATATGGCTACCACACCAAACTGTATATCAAATTCAATAATGCATTCCGTTAACATTAAACAATCTCTGTCACAAACAAAATCCTCCTCCAATATTTCTCAAACATAATTGTTATGTCAAAAATACTACAATGTTTAATGTGTTGGTTACAGCAAAGATATTAAACATATCAAATAGACATGTCCTTTCTAATTGAGAATCAGAGCTCATTTCATGGAGTCAAAACTTTCTCAATAGTCATTGAATATTTACAAAATGCGAAATTGGAATATGATTAAATGAAATTCAAAATTTCAATGAACTATTTTGTTCATATGCATATGATATACAAATACTTGCTAATGATTGACATTTAATTCGATTAATTCATTAGAATTCAACCATATCCATTTTTGTGTAGGAACTCCGAACTGTAATGTGACTTGCTGTGATGTTATCAGATCAAAATGAAATCATGTCACAGAAATCAAGAATATATTTCTGTATCACAATATTAATGACGTCAAAGGATATACATGTGGAACCAAGATGCTGGAATTCAGGTTTGAAAAATGTCGTTAATTGTTGCCTAGAAATATAAACTTATAAAAATGTTCTATTTTTGATAAACTTATATAAAAATGACCTATTGAAAATCTCAAAATCTTGAGAATAACATGAATAGGAATGAGGTCAGCTGATGTTCTGTATTTTCTTATAAATGGTTTAAAAATTAAAAATGATGTTTCATGACACATTGTTGTTAACAGTTTACCATTTAAGTCAGTTCCCCACAGGGGTTTCGTTACAAATGTCTAATGCACATAACGTTATGCTATACTGATATATGTCACAGTACATGTATGGTTTATGTGCTGTGACCATATCAGTTTAGCACATCATCGCGTGTAGCTGTCGAACCAGTGTCACCACATCAGTCCCTCGTTACCTAGGTAAACAACGTGGTTATCGATACCGGAAACCGGTCTGTGAGATAGCACACAAGCGCCGTACAGGTAAATTTGCTCCAGCGAACACATGCCGTCACGGTTCGGTGCGCCATTAGGTGTTGCCAATCCCTGCTATCTTCTCTGTCTCCCTCCTCTATCCCTTCACTCCATACTGTATCCCTTCACTCCATACTTTATCCCTTCTACTCATTTTCCCGCCTTTTCTTCGTCTGCTGGATAACTGAACTACTCGGTAGTGAAGCGGACGTAAAACCTATCAATCAATCAATCAATCAATTCCTGCTATCTAAAGTCCATGACAATACAAAGTGTACAAATTTTAACAAATTAATTCTGTGCCATGTCAGGGACATATAAAGCCAGTAGTATATACATTTTGTACGTCTCTCAGAGGCGGATACAGACAAATATTGAGGGTGTTGCCCAAACCAAAAATTACCAAATTATATGTACATTGTACATGATCAAATACAGTCAAATAAGATATAAAGCAAGTTATGAACATGATCAAATGCAGTCAAATATGATATAAAGCAAGTTATGAACATGATCAAATTTACTGTAAAATAAGATATAAAGCAAGTTATGAACACGATCAAATTTACTGTAAAATAAGATATAAAGCAAGTTATGAACATGATCAAATACAATCAAAGTTAGTAAGAAAAAATATTTGTACATTGTACATGATCAAATGCAGTCAAATAAGATATAAAGCAATTTATGAACATGATCAAATACAGTCAAATATGATATAAAGCAAGTTATGAACATGATCAAAATTACTGTAAAATAAGACATAAAGCAAGTTATGAACATGATCAAACACAATCAAAGTTAGTAAGAAAAAATATTTGTACATTGTACATGATCAAATGCAGTCAAATAAGATATAAAGCCCAACTAAGAGAATGTTTCAGACATTCGCTGAAGTATGCATATGGCACAGCCTTAGCAGGAGGAAAACAAAATAATGGGCCTGGTTGCTGACCCCTATTTTGTAAATATTGTTGCAGGGCCGACACTGGGCAGGTGACCGCAGGTTGTCTAGAGGCAGCGATGGACAAAGTAATAGGTCGAATATTATAATGTCCTTTGAAAGAACGAAACGTTAATTCTAAGCGACACAAGAACCCGGAGGAATCCTTGATTAACTGCAGATCCTCAAACTGTAAAACATTGGAAACAGCTTTATTGAGGGTCATTTCCCCAACCCTTAAAAAGGCATGGAAAGCCAACAAGTACATGGCTTTCAAAAGATGATATTGGTAAGGGGATTGCGTGGTATACTGCAAAGACGTTACTAGCTTTGTAAGTATCTCTGGTGTTATAGGTAAACGATTGTCTACCTGGTAATTACCTCGCTGAACCGAACTGAGCAATTTCTTTATCAGGAATGATTGGGAAGGGTCAGCATAACCAGCGATTTTGTTAATGTAACTAATGGCTGCAACATATGTGGAAATGGTAGATGATGCCAAATTTTGCCTGTACAAATGAGCGATAAAAAAGGCCAAAGTATTGTAGGTGGTAGGCAAAACCGGTGTACCAATAAAAGTAGATCTGACGAATTGACATAGCAGATTGTACGCTCTCGAGTAAGTACGGGATGTCGCCGGCGATGTAGCATGTAACAAAAGCGAATGAATAGTATCGGTCAGAGTTGCATGAGTTGGACTGGTATTGGCGTTGGATCTGTGTCCATGTAAGGGGCCAGCTGGTGAAAAGAGTCCACCTGCAAACGAGACAGATGGTCACTTAAGATGTTACTTTTGCCTGGGATGTGACGCGCGGTAAACAAAATATTGAGTTTTAAGGTTGTGACCACAAAACGCCTAACTAACTTCATTAGAGTTTTATCTTTACTGGTTTGTTTGTTAATTATGTCCACAACAGCATGGTTGTCACAATAAAAGATGATACATCTGTTAGTAAGTGATGGACCCCAGAGCTCTAATGCAACTATTATAGCAAAGAATTCTTTAACTGTAATATGGAAAGATTGCCAGTGTAATGGCCACTCGCCATACATCCATGACGTTTGAAAGAAACCGCCATAACCTAAATTACTTGCATCAGTATAAAACCGTAATTGTTCTGAAGTTTCCCAACGGTCAGACAGAAACATAAATGTCCCATTAAACGAGTCTAAAAAGATTTTCCATGCAGCTAAGTCACATCTAGCCTCCTTATTAAGTCGTTTATGGTGATAGGGTTTTGTTAAACCACAGGTAAGATCAATCAGACGACGTAAAAAGGTGCGCCCAGGTGAAATAACACGACAAGCAAAATTAAGCAAACCTATAAGGGACTGAAGTTCTTTCAGGGTGACTTTTTGGCGTCTGGAAAATGAATCCAGAAGCGCTCGCATTTTTTCAACTTTATCCAATGGAAGTCTGGCCACCATAGCCTTACTGTCTAACTCTATGCCAAGAAAAGTCAGAACTGTTGTGGGTAGTTCAGTTTTACTTTGCTTTATGGGAATAGAAGTGTCGGAACAAAAAGACAGGAAATTGTTTAAATCATCCAAACATTTGCGAGAGTCAGGGGGGCCTACGAATAAAAAATCATCCAAAACATGCACAACTCCAGAAACTTGAAATTTATGTTCCAAAATCCAATGAATGGCTGAGCTGAATGCTTCAAACAAACGACATGAAATAGAACAACCCATTGGCAGGACACGGTCAAAATAAAATTTGTCATCAATTTTAAAACCCAAGAGTTCGTAGTCATCCGGATGAATCGGAATTAAACGAAATGCTGATTCAATATCAGTCTTTGCCAGAAATGAATTTGGACCATAATGTTTAATTAATTGAATTGCTTGATCGATAGTCTGATAAACAACCGTGGAATTTTCCGGGGCGATGCCATCATTGATAGAGGAACCTTCTGGAAAGGACAGGTGATGTATAACTCTGAACTCATTAGGTTCTTTTTTGGGAACTAAACCAAGTGGAGAGATTTGCAAATTAGTAAAAGGTGGTGTATGGTAAGGTCCAAAACAACGCCCATGATAAATCTCCTTTTGAATCTTATCTTTTAGAATTTGCATGTTATCTAAAGCAGACTTAAGATTTCTGGAATCACGAAATATGCGAGGCCCTTCATATTGCAACCTAAAACCTTGTTTAAAACCATCTTGAAGAAAATTTAGTTTTGATTTGTCATAACCCCGTAGGTAAGTTAAGAACCTGTCAATAACAATAGGGGTAGGTAAAGGCTCATTTTTGAGGGGCTTTACGTTGTTGTCTGCTATTGGATTGGTTAGTTTGTTGGGATGGTTGGGTGTTGACCGAGCCCGAGTTTTGCTGGGTTTCGGATCGTGACCCAGACTGGGCTGCATTGTAACAATTGCGCTGCTGATGCTTCCCTCCACAGATACTGCAGCCATGCAAGAATTTGCATCGGGCACCTTTGGAGCATCTTCCGTGCTTATCATATGCCCAACACACTTTCTTAATTCGTGTGTTGGGTTTCTGACCCTGAAAGGGCTGTTGTGGGCAAAGTGCTTTTAGCCCAATAGCTGTTGCCTCCATGTAGAACTCGGAATGAGTTATGTGCCATGGGGCAGTGGGCACTAATTGGTGCCACATACGGAAGTTGTTATCATAGTGGATAGCTGCAGCAAAACCCGACCTCCGGTGTATCGTTTGTATAACGTCGGCATATTTCATAAGGCCTGGAGTGGCCTGAGGATGTGCCTGAATGTAAATGGCTACAAAGATGTGAAAAGCTGAGAGCCATTGTTCAATTGACTTGATATGAGCTGGTTTGTTGTTTTGGCACAGCACTAATTGCTGGCCTTGCATTTCAACCCTCAGGGGTTCTTTTTCCTGAGGGGAACGCTTAATCAACAGCCCGAAATCAATGAACTCATCAGCAAAAATTTTAGATTTTACTTTTAGATCTACAAACATATCCAGAGGTCGGCTTATGCTGTCAACTTGAGGAGTCTCACCAGAAACTGAGTTCAACACGTTGACATATGACGGAACATTGTCCTGTCCTTGTAGTGGTGGCCTACTGTAGTGTGTTGTTTCGTTGAATGACATATGCTGCTGTTGCAGCATATGACTCTGGTTCAATCCCCCTCCAGACACAGAGGGTGTGGCATTGGTGGTAGCTGGTCTTAAAAATAAGGTGCTGTCCACTGGAGGGCAGTCAGCTGACCCGGAAGCAGAGGGTATCTCTGCAGGCACGGTTTGTACGGCAGGGGATTGTATGGTAAAACCTGCCTGCCTCATATATTGAAACAGCTCCGCTGCCAACTCAGGTATTGATATGTTGTTATTTGTTGAAAGTGCAGATGAACTCAGAGTTGATGGAACTGGTGGAGGTGTTTGTCGGACAACCGGCCGGCGTCCCCTCCTAGCTGTTGTTGTGCTAGGCACACTTGTGTCTTCAGTATGTGTGGGTGGTGTCACCAATGAATGTTGTTGTGCCGCCCTACGCCGAGTTCGCCGAATTGGGCCTTGATGATTAATGTCTGGAAAAGAAACGAACAAGGTAGTGACTGATGCCCCCTTAAAGAGGTATACTTAAGGAAGATAAAAGTAGCCTGCATTTGTGCCTAGGTATGGGCATTAGGAATCGTCAACAAATTCCCATAAATCTACAGGTATACTCTTGGGATATTTATATTAAATCCTGGGTATATAAGCCTGGTCAAACCAGTGAAGGCAGACATATTATCATGAACATCAATTCATGAGCATCCCCCAAACAAAGTTGTATTCACTTTTGAACACACTACCGGGCATTCCCCCGGGATAATAGTGAAAATAGTATTTGACCTGAGCATACCCTCAGCATAACCTGCAATGGCAGAAAACTCCGGGCATACCCCCGGCATAATAGTTGAACAGTATTAAAAACCCCGGGCATACCCCCGGCATAATATGTGAAAATATGATAGAGATTTTAAAATATCATACCCGGGCATACCCCCGGCATAACCATTTGCATGGCCATGTTTCACAATATAAACACTAACTGGTAAGGTCATTGAACAACCCCCGGCATGCCCCCGGGTTCGACCAGTTGTGTAACAGGTGTATTACTATCATAGGTTATTAACCTGAAATTGTTTTGGATTCAACAAATGTACATAAATCTTCAGGCATACCCTCGGGATAAATATATAACATCCTGGGTATAGGCCTGAAACAAATATCAGGCATAGCCGCCATAGGTGGAAATCTGAACAACATATGATCAACTGATATGAATTATATACCGCATGAATCAGTAAACAAGCGGAAATAATGTTATTGAAAGACAATTTCAAGTCAATAAATAATTTCATAATCACATTATATAAGCCATAATTCTGTGCTAAAGCATGGAGCTGTCCTCAACGCGGAACTGTGTTGATAGAGTTGTGATTTTTAACCGCGCATACAACGGGTGTTGTGTTGATCATCGCGCGAATGACCTCCCCTTAATTAAACGAATAAGTTTCTAATACATATATAATATATACACTGCGTAAACGATTATTTGTACCGGGATATTAGAGAAATATCACCCGACTTGGAAGAAATTTGTTTGTATCGTACGATATCGTTACCACAAGGCCATAAGTTGACAGGTAAACCAGGCAGCGACAGATAAACAGGCCATGCCTTGAGACGAACCGGAACCGAATAGAGTAGAGCATGCGTATAGCTAGATATTATTGTAAACATCCTGAAATTACCTATTCATGTCTTACCATATACGGAAAGCTTAGACACGCCCACTGGCGTTTCGTAATCCATATAAGGCAGCTCCTCTGACCGAGAGAATGTATCTACGCATGCCCGTGGTGTTCAAATGAACCCCGTCGTGAGAAAGATGAGGAAAGACGCCATCTTTTAAGCCTTTATGGCGCCAGAAAAAACAGAAGTTCAATGTTTTACATTTCGCTTTCAAAGCGGAATTAACGTAGTCCACGGCCTCATTATACTTATGAACTGAAACGTGTCTCGTACTACGACGATAAAACAGCTGTAGTATTCCGATCCGGACTACTGATAGTCCCGAGGCGAGCCACTCGACAATGGACAGTAAATTGTTCACGATAGAATCTTTGGCGTCCTCGATCCGTGAACAATCTAAATCATTGCCACCAATTTGCAATAAAACTAAATCCGCAATTTGTTCTCGTAAACGATCAGTCACTTCACGGGCATAAACATCGGGTAATCTACCCCCGCTTTTACCTACACACGATACTACAATGTTTGTAGGGTCATCATGAAAACCGAGGTTCGTCCATGAACCTTCGAGCGCGCGGTCAAGGCGTTTGACAAAACTATGTCCAATAATCACCACGTTCGCCATAACATCAAATTTTGAAAATATTACACGTAAACAATACGTAATAAAATTCACTTAGATATTTTTCAAAATTAGATCATGATGTAAAAAGAAGGTACACACCTTGTTCCTCCATCATCTTCAGCAGGCTAGTGACCTAGGGTCAGCTAGTGCACATACTTATATAGGGTGCTAAAAATAGCCACAAATTCATACGACTTTTGACCTTCTCACCTCCTACTAATGGTCAGCGTCCGCTCATATCAATCATAGATACAACAAATACAGTACTTTAACATTCATGATATTGAAACATAATAAAAAACAAAGTTTTACTAGGACATTCATAAATTACATTAAACCAGGTTTAATTTGTATTTATGAACATGATCAAACACAATCAAAGTTAGTAAGAAAAAATATTTGTACATTGTACATGATAAAATGCAGTCAAATAAGATATAAAGCAATTTATGAACATGATCAAATACAGTCAAATAAGATATAAAGCAAGTTATGAACATGATCAAATTGACTGTAAAATAAGATATAAAGCAATTTATGAACATAGTCAAATACAGTCAAAAAAGATATAAAGCAAGTTATGAACATGATCAAATACAGTCAAATAGGATATAAAGCAAGTTATGAACATGATCAAATGCAGTCAAATTTAGTAATTAAACAAGTTATATGTATATGATCAAATGCAGTCTAAATTAGTAACAAAACTAGGTATTTACAGACCCTGGACCGTTTTTCTTTACCAAAAGTGCGTTGCGTTTCCGTTACGTTTGCGTTCCGTTTCCGTTGCGTTTCCGTTGCGTTTGCGTTCCGTTTGCGTTGCGTTTGAGTTGCGTTTGCGTTGACCGTTTGTTGTGCGTTTTAACTTTAGCGTTGAATGTGCGTTGAACACGCGTTTTGCTGGTTATGTAAGAAAACGATCGATGTGCAGGTTATTTTAAGAATATGTTAGTGCTGAAAGGTTTCTATATAAAAAAAAATAGTTATATGGATTATATGGTATACCTATATCCTCCTACATCACCTATACGTCCTACACCACCTATACCCTCCTACATCACCTATACGTTCTATATCCTCTTTAGGTATAGGACTATAAGGTGATGTAGGAGGGCAAAGAGGGTATAGGACGTATAGGTTATTTAGGAGGGTATAGGACGTATAGGTTATGTAGAAGGGTATAGGACGTATAAGGTGATGTAGGAGGGTAAAGGGGGTATATGATGTATAGGTGATGTTGGAGGCTATAGGTGGTATAGGACGTATAGATGATGTAGGAGGGTATAGGTGGTGTAGGACGTATAGGTGATGTAGGATGGTATAGGTGGTATAGGACGTATAGATGATGTAGGAGGGTATAGGTGGTATAGGGCGTATAGGTAGTGTAGGAGGGTATAGATGGTATAGGACGTATAGGTGATGTAGGAGGGTATAGGTGGTATAGGACGTATAGGTAGTGTAGGAGGGTATAGATGGTATAGGACGTATAGGTGATGTAGGAGGGTAAAGGTGGTTATAGGACGTATAGGTGATGTAGGAGGGTATATGTGGTATAGGAAGTTGAGGTGATGTAGGATGGTATAGGTGGTTATAGGACGTATAGGCGATGTAGGAGGGTATATGTGGTGTAGGAAGTTGAGGTGATGTAGGATGGTATAGGTGGGTATAGGACGTATAGGGGATGTAGGAGGGTATTGGTGGTTATAGGACGTATAGGTGATATAGGAGGGGATAGGTGGGATAGGACGTATAGGTGATTTAGGAGGGTATAGGTGGGATAGGACGTATAGGTGATTTAGGAGGGTATAGGTGGGGTAGGACGTATAAGAGTAAATTGATAATTGCATCCATTTGGCGAGTTTCAGCTTACACATGTCTTCTTTTATAACAAAATTGAAATACAGAACATTTATATTCCATGGATTGAAAACGTGACTGCATCGTCATAGTTAGATTCACCAGATATGTTTTAAAGCTCTTTAAGCATCGAAGCATATAGATGTCATTTGGATTTCTTCCAAACTACAGCCATAACAACCACATTAAGAAGAAAATATTTGACAATTATCATATAAGATCTTATTTTCGTCACTTAAAGTTAAAACATGCTATTGATGCGACAAGAGTGTATTTTTATGTGTATGATAAATTTGAGAAGATAAAAGTCATAGCTAGATTCACCAGATATGTTTTAAAGCTCTTTAAGCATCGAAGCCTATAGATTTCATTTGGATTTCTTCCAAACTACAGCCATAACAACCACATTAAGAAGAAAATATTTGACAATTACCATATTAGATCTTATCGTTCTATTGATGCAACAAGAGTGTATTTGTATGCATAATAAATTTGAGAACATGAAAGACTGTTTAATTTGAAAACCTCTATATAGATTTAAGTGTATGTTATATATACGTCTCTAGTTTGAATGATTTCACAAATAGGTATACTAATTTGACAAAATATTTGAATGTGTATAATAAATTTGAACAAGAGTTACATACAGTACGCGTCAGATTATTTGATACTCAGTCGCACCCCGAGCGACACATTTTAATCCCGGTCATGCTTGTTCCTTTTATTGTCCTACTCAGATCAAATGCTCAGACGACCTGAAGTCTTGCTCACCAAAATTTGCGGCGGCCATTTTTGAAAAGTGACTCAAGTTATCCACAAAAAGAGGCTGTCCGGAGTTGTTCTAAATAAGAAAATAAATTCTATTTTCGGTTCGGATCAGTACGGTTTGTTGATTAGTCATCCCGCCCCCCCCCNTTTATATATGCCTGTTTCACTCACACATGTTTCCAAAAACAGAAATGGTAGTTAGTTTATAGATGATGATTTTTTTACAATTTTAATGATGAAATGAGTGAGGAGGCAAACGGCGTCTTGGATGCTACCTAAATTAATATGTTTTTTTTTTTTTTTTTACATAAGTGGTTAATCTAGTTTCTGTAAATAATATACATCTAGAGCCACATAAAAAGGTTCGTACCTTTGGCGTAGGGACTACAACACAGAAGAGATCACTTCCAAAAACTACCCCGGCCCTCCCCTTTTAAAATCCTTTAACCAGAGACATATATATGTGTACTATAGTGTTTGTACTGCGTATAAACTGGTGTTATACGCCTCTGCTTTAACCGCCCGATGTTTATTTTTTAAAACAAAGTGTCTGATCAGAGTCGTATACGTTTCTGGTCTGACGTGCTGACAACAAACGGTAGATAATATTCTTTTTGTTATCAAATTGATATTTAGAAAATTTGATGAACACCATATACAACACAAAACAATTGATTAAAAAACAATTGATCTAAATCGATCAAATTAACGTAGGCGCATCCAGAGTATATGATATATACGTCTCTGGTGCACCGCACCCCTTTCTTTACAATATATAGATATACGTTGGAATTGACAAAAAAAATGCACCAGTACAATGATTAATACTCAAAATGAGCAGCAACCCGTGATTTTTTCACTCCCAGTCGTAAAACTTGAAACGTTTTTATTCTGTATGCAATCCAAGGAATTAAGCACACACCGCTTCTAAGAGCATTGCAGAGGGAGAACCTGTCCGTTCAAGTCTCACAAAGATTAGTAATGTATCAATGAACCACCTGATCAGATATATAGCATGGTCCAGCATTAATTGGCTCTTTTCTAACTTTCATCTGTCGAGTGATGCAGTTGTACTGATTGTGGTTTGCATATTATGTGACTCTGTGACACCCTTACAAGAAAATGTACGCATTTCATTTATTCATATTTTTCTCGAAATTGATCCTTATACCAGAGACGTAATATATATTTACGTCTCTACGTTAATTTGACCCATTTTTTCCACGTTATCTCACCTGAGAACAGTGCTGTTAAATTGAAAATTGGAAGACACATAATCTACACCAATCTACATACTAACTTCAGTGTTATTTACCTGTACACAAATTTCATACCCAAGTATGTTAAGGGAGTGGATCGAGTTGATTTTCATAATTTAATCAAGATGTTAAATTAAAACTTGTGTATGCTACATGTAAAGGGAGAACAAAAAAATATTGCATAATTCAATGATATTTTCGAGATAAATAAAATTCTGGAATTAGATTATAAAAGCCCGTGATCTAGTTTAGCATCGCAAACACAGGCAGACACCAACGTTGAAGTTATTTTGTAAACATTTTCACTGATATATTTCCGTATTTTTGGACCGTTGAGGTACCACACAGTATATAACTTTTTTCAATATAAATATTCCGGCACAGAAACTGGTCACGGCGTAGTGCTGTTCAATGACGACATGATTGGATAAGGTCTCACTGTAGAGCAGAATTATATAAAGTATATACGTCTCTGTGTAGAGTAAAGAAAATGATTGACTTTCCAGCTAAAATTAAGAAATATCTTTGATCGATAACATTGAGACTATTTCTCTTTAATTTCCCTCAAACTCGTTCATTTGAAAATAATTCTCATCAGTGCTCATGATCGGGACATGCAATGCTACCAGTCTCTGTTTCCCTATTCAGAGTCGTCAGTTTGGTTTCAATTAAACTCACTGTCTGGAAATTCTTGCAAATTTTATATGGCTGGATACCATATACAAAATGTTAACTTCAGCATAATTTGATTCCTCAAAACTAAAAAAATATCAATTCGCAATCTGACCATGCTATTCTTGATAATCGCCTATTCCTTCGATGGTGACCGCTACAGGCGTTGAACTTGTGACGTCACGGCCGATAGGGGCCAAACCACCACAAGTTACGATTATGCCAATAAGGAGAAGAAGGACAGGTGAAAATCGTACAATTAACACGTCAATATCTCGGTATGACCGATTTTTATGCGGTTTTCGACATTTTGTGTTTGGATCATATGGAATAATAATATATCAATTTCTATTTTCGTTCAGGGTACACTTAAATAAGAGCCAATACAGATTGATTTTGATGGTTTTACGTCCGCTATTACGTACGACCTTGCGGTCTTTCAGTAGACGACCTACCAGTACAGGCGTGTGCTCTGGCTTTACTGAAATGGGGATACCCAGGGGGATAAACGTGAAGTACCGGTGAGGGGTAGTGCACCCCCGCTGAGTAACTAACACTTCCGTCAGTGAGATGAAACCCGTAAGGGCGGATTCATGTAGGCGCAAAACCCGTCAACCAACCAACCAAATCGTAACTAACAGGCCGGTCTGTTCTGGTTTACATATCCAGGTAAATTAGCAAAAGGATTTTGATATAAGATGACTTTAAACGTTAGGATTTACCACGGAATTAGATGCTATC